TACATAAAATTAGGACGCTCTTATTCAAACAAATAATATAGCATGTTATTGCCTAAATTAGCCCTATATTACAAATCGTATTACATTTGTAATAGGACTACATATATAAAAAAGGTTTACATACATATACAAAATAAATAAGATACACAATTGTCAAAAAAATGTTGGCAAAATGTGAATTAAAACCAAATATTTATTATTTTACTGTTAATTATACAGAATAAATTAATAAATTAAATTGGGTTCTTTGATTCAACTGTTTTATGAGAGTATATAATATAAAATTAATTCTGAGATAAATAATGCTTAACAATAGGTCTCTTCTTTTGTAAGCATTTCACAAAAGAAACACCGCTTATTTTAAAAATAATATATGAAGTAATAACACTTTGACTTATTCAGTACAACTTCTTTGACTTGACCGCTTAAATAATAAGCAGCTCAAATCGTATGGTTGCCAAGACTAAAAATTCGCCTATTTTGAGCGGTTTTTGGAAGTACGTACAAAATTTTTACAGCAAATTTCTTTATCTATTTGAGTCAAAATAGAGAACACATAACTGTATGTTGTTAACTCAAACTTAGTGGTACCGATAACAAAAATCATTAAAAAATCCAGCTGAAACCTGTAATCACAATAATATGATAAGTATATTCTGAACTTAAATTGGGTTAAGGAAAATATAATCAAATTACTGCTACCCATAAATGGGGACTATTCACCGTTTTGCTGTCACATTTCTCACAAGAAAATTGCAGAAATAAAAACTCGGTTTATGCCGTTAATTTAAAATACTATAAAAAATATAAAAAAATATAAAAAAGTAGCTTCCCTAAAAACGTACTAAATAAAAATTAAATCCATCCAGTTGAATTTAAGTAATTTAACGAATATTCTCCCTCCATTACCTTTGAATAGTCTGACAAACTATTAAGAAAGTACTTTCCTAAAAACGTACTAAATAAAAAATAAATTCATATAGTTGAATTCAAGTAATTTAACGAATCTCCTCCCTCCATTACCGTTGAATAGTCTGACAAACTATTAAGAAAATACTTTCCTAAAAACGTACTAAATAAAAACTAAATTCATTCAGTTGAATTCAAGTAACTTAACAAATTATCAGTTCATTAACAGTGGTCTTATATCTTAGACAGATTCAAATAGCAAAGAAAAGACAAAGACAAAAATTTTAGTTAATTTATTTAAATTTGGCTGATCATACAACACGCTGTTTCGAGTGTTGCCAAGTACTTATCATCAGTGTTTATAGTTTGTTTATAGTTTATATTTAAATATATATATCATATATTTTTATTATATATTTATATATTTGTAATATATTTATATTTAAATATATGTTTGTGAATAATTTTATTAAACTACATGTACCAATGATTGAACTAGTTGCCTGTCAAATTTGAAACTCGAGTCATTAGCCAAAAGGATTACGTTGACGTCTATGATCGAAAATTGAATTTTGTTATTTTCTGTGAAATTCTACCAACTGTAGAATAATTAAATCAATTAATTTAAGTTATTTTTAATTATAAGATACGAATACTATTCTTCTGTAGAGGGATTATTTATTGCATGATTTTATATTATCCTTTTCTGTGTATAGAACCTAATCTAGGAATCTAATGCGGAGGAAATCGCTAATGCTACTCTATGAGTTCTACAAGCCAGACTTGAAATTGAATATTTTTATTCAATATTTTTACTCATATCCGTTTCGATTATAATTTTGTATTAAATTTGATTTTGGATATCAATTATGACGCAAATGACTATTTTACTTAGCAGAAACTATTGTAACAACAAAATTTTATTATTTTTAATTAATTGTACCGCTGTGTGATTAGCCAAAAATTTAATTAATTTAAAATAAACAAATTTTGTTGTTGGAATTCACTACTGTTGAATGTATCGCTCTATTAATTAAGCAACTTAAAACAAATTTGGTAATATTAATTTGCGTTACTTTAGTCTTTATCTTATTGTATTATTGTCTTATTGTAATTATTAAATTTACAACGTTAAGTTAGTAAATTTAAATTTTAACTTTTAATCTAAATTTTAAACTTTTAAGAGTTTTTTTAAATAAGATTTAAAATTAAGTTACCGTCTTCAAGCAGACCACGATTCGAATCTTATGGTAAGATTTATAATAGAGAATATATCCGATATTTTTTGTTTATCTGGTTAATATCTAGCTGTGTTAACAGTTACTCTATTCACATTTGATACAAAAAGAAAAATTTCTGAATCAAATTCTCAAAGTATACATTTTCAATTGTTTTTACTTTTCGTCAAAAAGCGCATAATTTTCAATCAAGTCCTACTCTATAACGAATTGAGGATTCCCATCACATAAATCCAATAAATTTGGAATGTATTGCTCATTACGACGACAAAACATAAGTCACACAATCAAATAATACACAAATTCATATTTAAATACAAACCTCAACTGTTCTACTTCGTTCCTTAAATCCGTATCAGCGGCAGCGTCTGCGGTAATCCTTAGCGATTTGCGTAAATTACGTTCCAACATTTCGTAATCCTCACGTCGACGTGTCATTAACGCATTCAATTGTTTCGTTAATAAACGCACTTGATCGTTAAGCGATAAATCGTCAGAATTACTGTCAACATTGTTAACAACAACAACACGTTTCGATTTTATTGTAGCGCTTGTTGTACTACCAAAATCCTTCGCTTTCACTTTTACAGCACTTTCATTTGAATTATCGTAAGCATTATGTTCATAATCCTCAATAATATCATTATCAGCTTCATCATCATTAACATCATTATTATCATCATCATCAATAAATCTTAGGAGTTCAACACTAGTTTCTTCCGATACATGTTTTTTATTTTTCTGTGTCCTTTCGGTGCTACGCAACATTTCTGCTGCAACATCATTTGCAGCTTCACCATTGCTGCGTATAAAGCGACCGCCACCACTACCGTCACTCATCATGGCGGCTGCCGCAACATCGCGTAACACATTATTCACATCCTTAATCGAGTTCGCTTTAACCACGTCGAGACGTGTGCATAGATGGAGTAGGATAATTACTGTAAGGACCGTAGACAGACCGCGTTGTGCCGTTAGGCTAATTGTGTTTTGCAATAACATTGTGCACTTTCACGTTAAAAGTCCAAAAAAAAAAAAATTGGAACAGACAAATGAACTTAGAGAAAGTAAAGTTTGGGAAATTAATTATTATTAAAAAATTAATTATTAACACGGTTTACAACACTGTAATAATGTTAACATTTTTAATTTATTGTGTTATGTTTTGTTAACACTCTTTTAAATTCACTGTCAAACGTTCTTATTTTTTGTTAAATCTTCACTTCACTTCAGTTCAAACATGAATTTAATTTTATTTTAAAAAATTTTTTTAAATTTTATGATTTTAATATTAAAAATCAGTACGACCGTTCCCGCTTGAAGATAAGACACGCAGTAATCGGCAAACGTTACAGGACTGAAGTCCCGCGTAGCATAATCGTCCTTTTATACATTTTTCTTGTTTAGTTGTGTCGTGTGTTGCAAACAGGTTGTTTGAGCCAGAGTGGCATCAGATACTGTTAAGCATTAACAGCCCAACTGTTGGTTTTATAAGAGAGAAGCAAAGAAATGTTATGCCGAAGAGTAAAAAAAATAATAAACTAAGTTTAGCAGTTATCAAGCTATTACCAGGTTACCTTTACAGTACTGTTAGGTAGAAAATGTTCTGTTAGAATTGCTTATTTCTGTAAATGTTATCTGTATAAAACAGTAATGAGAGTTTATAATTATTATAGTTGAGGTAGTTACTGTTAAAAATTTGTTTTCTCAACAATATTAAAAAAAAAAACTAAGTTTAAAGTACATATGACTGTTAAGTACAAATGTTGGGGAGAAAATGTTAAGCTGGAATCAATTGCTTCTTTATGATACAGTAATTAAACTTTTTTTATGTTAATTTCAAAACATATTCTGTTAAAGTAAATTTGTGGCATTTAACAATTTTTTTGAAGAAATGTTTCAGACAATATAATTAACTTAGGGCCTCCAGTTCCTCATTCTTAGCTAACTTAAAAATTAATTTTAGTGAACAAATAATGAAATTAAAGAACTATTAAGAAACGAAAATATATTGAGATACATTAAATAGCAAAGGTTATAATGGGCTGCTCATATAACAAAAATGTGACCGAAGGCAAAGCTGAGCAGCATATACAACACGAAGCTGATGACAACCAGGCACAGAGGTAGGCCAAGAACATAATGGGATGAGAATGTGTATGGTGATGCAAGAAAGATTGGAGTACTGAACTGAAAGAAATTAGCAGAAGATCGGGGCAGATGGAAGCAGATCATAAGGGAGGCCAAGGTTCACACTGGACTATAGTGCCAAATAAGAAGAAAAAAAAGATATATATTTATTTATACAAATAAATAAATAAAATATAATTCATTAATAAAGTAGTTACATTTTTTATGGAGTACTACTCTTTTTGAAATTAAAATTTTATTATAAAATATGAAATAACGTTTTTTTTTCAGCAGCCTTACAAAAATTTTTGAGAACGACAAGCTTGAAACAAGATTGTTTTGGTTAATCTGTATTCGTTCGTATTTCTAAGGCTACAGTTTTAAGTTCATCTATTACCAAAATTGCTTGAGGTCACGATTAATTTGAACGTTAGCTACATGCCATAGAGCGCTAAATATTTGCCTTAGAGTCTTAGACTAGAGTCTTTAAAAAATTTCAATGTTGAATGTTGAGGCTGGGATACCGTAAGTCAATATATAACAAACTTTGGTATAAAAGAAGCTAATTTTACTTCTAAAATACTAAAGATTTTTTGTTCAGTAGCAAAAACATGCTATAGTGTTAAATTCTAAGAGGATTTAATTATAATGTGGGCTTTCCACCTCCTTAAAATTATCACATAATTCCGAAGACATTTCTGACGATTATTCCCAAAGTCAGACTGTCTTCAATCATTTCTGTATTACTTAATACAAAGAGCACATTAAAAAAATTGTAAAATTATTAATAAAAATTTTTCATTTCAAATAAAGTAAATGTCATTTTTCTCAAACTCTTCTACTTTCAAAAATTTTAACAAAGTAGGCGTTTTTTTATTACAATTCAAACAAATTTCATTGTAATTCATTTTAAAATATTTTGGAGAAGAGTCGGTTACAAAATATTTTCTTCTATTTTTTATAATTTTTTACGTCAAAAATTTATTATGAAAAATTTCAAAAAAACAATATTTGTGGAATTGAAGCGAAAAATTAAGAAACATCATCGTGATTATTCGACAAACTGCCTTCTGAAGGATGCTGGATTTTCTCTACAAAGAAAAATCAAAACATCGCACGATGTATAGCGGATCTTGGTCGCATGCTCACAACAAGAATATCTGAATCTTCATTTGCATTCGACGGTCGTACAGCACGTTTATTGCTCAATAGATTCTTGCCATTGGAGAAGAGTCGCTGGAAATGATTCTCTATCTATAAATGTTTCCGAGGAATAAACAAGAAAACCATAGCCTGGGAGGATTCGTATTTATTAAAACAAACTTCTTCAGAAGTTATTTATAGATGAAGTGATTTTGAAGCTACACAAAAGCATTGATTCAAGTGGGTTGATGATAGTCGTCCCACAAAAAAAAAATTCTTTTTCGTTTTCAAGGAAATGATTACAATTACTCCTCCTGAAGCAGTTTATGTTCAAGGTGACTTTGAAAGTACTTACACGCATGGATGCAAGTGGGCTGATATCAGCACAGTAAAAAAAGGTTACCCTTTCTTTGCTGTACTGTTATCAGCCCACTTGCATCCATGCTTGTAAGTACTTTCAAAATCACTTTGAACATAAAGTGCTTCAGGTGGACTAATTGTAATCATTACCTTGAAAACGAAAAAGAATTCTTTTTTTGTGGGACGACTATCATCAACCCACTTGAATCCATGCTTTTGTGCAGCTTCAAAATCACTTCGAATATATATAACTTCTGAAAAAGTATGTTTTAATAAATACGAATCATCCCAGGCTACGGTTTTTTTATTTTTTCCTCGGAAACATTTAAAGATAGAAAATTATTTTCAACGACTCTTCCAATGGTGCGAAATTATTGATCGAAAAACGTGTTGTGCGATTACCTAATGTTAGTGTAGAGTCAGATATTCTAGTTGCACACATGCGACCAAGAGCGGACCTTACATTGTGAAGTGAAAGATGATTGAAAAATAAGGTCGTAAGAACATGAAAAAGAAATAGAATGAAATATTCCTTATTTAGTTGTCCATTGCAGACGTAGTTGTACTTGGGGGCGACGAGCACCCTCCGCCAGCCAATCAGATGAGTAGCTTGCTATAGACAGTGATAATACCGAGCACCCCAAATCGTTGCTTCCCTGGTCCTTCCACCAAAGACGCGGACGTTCTGTATCAATGGCGACTTGTGTTTGTTCCGTGTGTTCCCAGAGATCAGTATTGTATATGCTCTCCGGTCACCATATTTTCAATATTTTTTTTAAGCATTTGTTTATAAATGTTTGGATGCACGATTAAATAGAGGCAGAGTTTTTCCACGTTTCGCATTCGTAATACTGCATTGATTTAACGTTCGAGTTCGAATGCGAGTACTTATTTGCTTAGACTTCCACACATTACTTAACTGTCCGAAAGCTGACTTAACTTTCCTCAGTCAGGCCGAGACGATTTTATCTGCACCACTGCTCAATTGGATCATTACCAATTCTGATGGATGGAGGATCCTGAATAGTTTAACTGCTGCACACGACTTTTATTTTTCTATGGCTTATGAATAGGCCGACATAGGATGCACAGGAACTGAGTATGTCCATAAGTATAAGTAATGTGGAACCTATTTACTTGGCGGATAAATATGTTGTGAATGGCGGAGGCGTGGTAAGTAATAACAATTTAGCCCACAGATATATATTTTAAGTGTGTATTTCGCTTAAACGTTTATTTGAAAAACTGTAGCAGAAAGACAAAGTATGCGTTTATTATGAAGGAAACATTTAACAAGAATGAAAATAGAAAGATTACATTATGTACGTAAACCCTCTACCTAGTACTTATTGAAGAGAATTAAGTAAATATGAAAACTGAAGTTTTCTTAGAATGCCTCAGAGTTAAAGTTGGTATTTTACTCATTGTAGAAGCAATAGAAAACCACAAAATTTTCTCGACAATTGCGAAAACCATAAGTTAGTTTATAAACAAAATTTTGATCACCTATTAACTCACCTTAAAACACATTTTACTGTTAAGTGCATAGAATTTAAATGTTAATAAGTGGCTGTCTCAACAATGTTAGGAAACAAACTCTATTTGAAGTATGTACATACCACTGTTAAGAGCATAACTTTAAAATGTGAATTACTTTGTTTACAAAGAGTAAGCACAGTGCACTACAGTACATTGTTTTTCTCTTCGCATGAGTTCTGTTATGAAAGCAACATTAACTGTTAAAGGCTTAAGCCATTGACTCGTTTGCGTGTGTGTGTTGGCAAAACGACAGATGCACAACTGTCAACTGATATATATGTGCCAATATTGTTTTTGTTGTGTTTTATTATTTTTAATTGTTTGTGTTTTGTGTGTTGTTGTTTTCATTTTGGTTACATTCTGTTACCACAGCCAAAGTATAATTATTATGGTAATTTCATTTTTGTTGGCTAAGAGCAAACTTTGCATTTCAGTATTTTGGTCTATATGCCATGTCACATCAGTGTTGTTAATACACTTTGTGCGGAGGGCAGACGTACACATATTGTTGATATTTTATTTTCATATTTGCACTCTTAACCCTTTGTTTTAGTTTCACATTTGGTCACATTAGTGGTGAACATTAAATGCGCATTCGGTTGACTGCACATAATGTATTCAAATGCAGCGCTTCGCCCTGCAGAGCAATTTTACGAGACATGTTAATTACTCTGAACGAGGGTGTGCAAGTTTCGCCCCTTTTTTCTGTTGAATACTTTTTTCCATATTTATTTTTCGCACAAGGAACGGTTTAAGCATATTTTTTTAGTTTAATGCTTGCCTGTGGAAGTTTTCGGTTTACAGACACAATGACATTAAGACTGCAATGAAATTTGCCAACAGCAAATTTAACATTTTGGTTTTATTTTCGCTTTACGTGTTTTTTTCCCTGTTATGCAGTCAATGAGGTTAAGGGCTTAAATGTTTACGCAGTGCTGCACTTTTGTGCAGTTTATGTTGTGGTCAAAAATAGGTGGGAAATGTTGTGGAACATTGACCGCACGTGCATTTTTATTTTTATGTAATTATGGCACATTTTATTTCAAAGTCAACTCGTCGAGTCACTACTGATGCGACAAGTCAAGTGCTCTGAAAAATGGCTCTCGTATATGAAAGTATGTAAAAAGAGTATATATACTATTTAAGTATATTTAATTAAAAATATAAAAAATAGTGGTAGTTCATATATAATATTTAAAATATAGTAATGTATTTTATATATATTTTTTAAAGAATTTTAATAATGATTTAATTGAATAACGGTATTGTTTTATTTATAACTGACTTCATTTATCAATATATATTCTTCTATATAATTTTTTTTATATAAGCACAAATAAACCATGATTTTATATTAATTGCCCAAGAGGCGATATCTCTTCTATCACTTCTTTATATCTCACAAAAAAAAAAATTATTAAATAATAAAGTATTTAAAAATTTATTAATATGAAATTAAAATTTATTAATTCTATATATGAAATGTTGACAATTTCAAAAATATTACCTAATACAGCCCAACTACAATCTATCAAGAAAGAAAGTCCTATTAGACAGAGCACCCATACCAAAAAATTAGAAACTTCCTTGCACCAAATATGCAGAATTTACAGACAAGAAGAGGAAAAAGGAACAATTAAAGACCTCTGACTGCCGCGCCTTGGTAGGATAGCACCATTTGACTGAAGAGCGTTTGGAACTGAATATTATTTCAACAATGAAAAATATTACATAGAATATTTTATTTCAAGAACGAAAGTCTTGTTGGACAGGGTAACCATGCCGAAAAATTATAAATTTGCTTGCACCAGATATGCAGAAGTTACAGACAAGAAGAGGGAAAAAGAACAATTAAAAACTTCTATCGTGAATGCCGCGCCCTGATAGGATAGTGCCATTTGACAGAAGAGGTTTTGAAACTGAAGATAGTTACAAGTATTTTGAATATAATTTCAACAATGAAAAATAATACCAAATATAACCCAACTGCAATCCATCAAGAACGAAAGTCCTACTAGACAGAGCACCAATGCCGAAAAATTATAAATTTGCTTGCACCAGATATGCAGAAGTTACAGACAAGAAGAGGGAAAAGGATACTTAAACACTTCTTAGGATAGCGCCATTTGACTGAACTGACGATATTAGAGATATCTTTAATATAAACCTTACAAGAATATTATTTCAAATTGGCACATACTTTAAGATGAAGCTGTGCCCTCACAATTACTAGACCAGACATTGAAAATATATTCATTATTGACTAGGTTAATTACTTCTAGATATTTTTGATTCCAAAAAACGTAATTTAAAAAGAACGAATGAAGTTTCAACTAGTTGCACAATATTTTAAGAATAAGAAAAGTAAGTAAAATTGTGTTTCATTTATTCCGATGTCTTGACAAAATACCCGTAATAACTCTTTCTCCCGATTTAGATATACTACTTTAAAACACTTCTCGTTATGTAGCTTCCAAACGGTTTACTCAAAAGAAGTGAATGGAAGAACGGGAAATTTCCAGCGGTGGGGTTCAACGATGGATCAAAGCATGAAAATGGACAATGATATGACAATGAAACAATCAATTGAGAACTTTTCCTCCAGTTTTTCAGGTAGAAGTGCGTGCCATTAATATCTAATATATGCTATATAAAACTTTATCGCTTTTATAGATTCGGAGAGGCAGGCGGCTATAAAATCCTTTCAATCCAAATCAATCCATTCAACCCAAATCCTTACTTAATCCAAATTGGTCAACAGCTGGACAACTCTAGTGTCTTAATTGGCTGCTATAAAGTAGCACTTATCAACATAACTGGTGAGATTTGAGAAATGAGAGATTTGACCGCAACGAAAAAGCTGAAAAGCTTGAGAGGCGAGATGAAAACGTTTTTTTACAAATAACTCATTTCTTACCTCTTAAACAGAAAAAGTACTTAGAAGAACAGGATGTAATGTGTTCAAGAAAGCCTGAGTGAACTCAGAATGTTTAGAAACTTAGAATATAAGATATTCGAAAAAGCCTGACTGATCTCAGAAGTCCTGCGATAGTCCAAAGAACAGAACGGAGACTTTTCATTTTAAATATGATGATGTCGAGAATAATCACTCGTTTTTTAACTGGACATGTTCTTGTTAACTAGCAAATTTGACAAATAGAGCCTGAAGACACCGCAACTTGCAGATTTTGTAAAATGAAGAGTAAGCTTCAGTGTAGCTTATTTGCTCGTGTTGTGTGATTTTCAGGAAACGAATCAATTTGCTTCCAACTTTGATTGAATCGATTAAGATCTGGGATGTATAGCCAAGACGAATTCATAGATGTAATAAGAGCTTGAATTTATTAGTTTGACTTAGAAAACTCTCTTGAGGATACCATACCGGATCTCAGCTTTAATAAGAGCTTCAATTCGTCACGTCAACTTAAAAAACCATGGATAACTTGGCAATTTTTTTAAGTCACAGTGGATTATTGTCCATTCTTTTGCAAATAATTGCATAAAACATAATTGATACAATAAATATTACTCACATTTATTTAAGTTCAAATTAATTTTGCTACTTCTCTTACCTTTGCAATCAGTAGTCTGCATGGAGCGTATATACATTAAAAAAACCATAAATGTTGATAAATAAATCGCAGCAATAACCAAAGTATCAAGTAACAGCACTAAAAGAAATGTAAAAGCTATTTTTAAAATAACATAAATGTTGACGTAATTTATTCCGTTAAAGTTAATATATATTTTGATAACTGATATTATTAAAAATTGATTTAAAAAATATTCCATGTACTCTAAAATATATTACGGAATGATATATATTATTATTAGCCAATTTTTTATTTTTAAATAAACATTTTATGAGAAATGAAGCATTAATCCTCTCTGGAAAAAATACCACTAACATGCTTTACATTTATTTTAAAAGGTTTTATATTTAGATTCATTCTAAATAGTAAAAATAAATATAATAAATAAAAATAAAGTATATTGTGTCAAACTTGTTAAGATCGGGTCTTCAGATGCCCTCCATGGCACGGTGGCAAGGCCGGAATTCTTGCTGGTCTTGTGGTTGGGTCTTAGCATCAGTGATCCACAGTGGACATCACCAAAACTAAAACTCGTGCCATATATTTGGTTCTTGTCGGTCGTAAAGTATGCCTCCCAATGTCACTGTCCGTTGAGTCATCCCTCACTCACTATTTCTTTACCACAATTCTTTACTCCATTTGGTTTAAGTTATTTATTGACCGTTAGAACACACACAACCTATTCGTACTACCCTTTTAGCAACTTATTACTCAAACATAATGAATACAACAAAACTTACAATATTCATATTATATGCATATTATTTTACGAGGACTGTTTGATAAGTCAGTGACTTTTTGAATAAAACAAATTTTTTTTCGGCAAATAAACATTTTATTTTTCTACATAATCACCTTTTAGCTCGATATATTTAGTCCAGCGTTTTTCTAATTTTCTTATATCCTCCAAATAATAGGTTTTCTTAAAGCTCTCATAATACGCGTTTGTTTCAGTAATGACTTCTTTATTCGACTCAAATCTCTTACCGCCCAGCCATTTCTTTAGTTTTGGAAACAGAAAATAGTCGCAGGGGACTAAATCTGGAGAATAAGGAGAAAAAAATTTTTTTTTTGTTTTTTATTTTCTATTGTACATTATTTCAATGTACAAAATCAAACAAAACTTTAAAAAATAAAAAAATTAATTTTTATTTAACAATGTAGTGATTTGTGCGCAACCAATAAAAATATTATAAATTTATGTATATAAAAAACAAAATAAATAAAAAATTGTTTAAAAATAATTTTGATCAATTAAAATTATTTTATATTCTGTGTATTACCAGAATTCATTATAATAATAAATAAGCAATCGACAGTATAATAACAAAATTAATACTGCCTGACTATATATTACTTGAGAGTCAGTTATTAATTTTTTTTTTGAAAGTATAATGTTTTCAAGGGAATCAAAGTATCTATCAAAAATAGTTGCAGGTGTAAAATAAAACAGGATAAAATCCATCACTTCTCCTCGCATGCTCAGTGCAAAAATCGGACACGCACAGCTGCAAAATTAAAATTGCAAAATCATAAAATTTTATTTTTTGCTCTCATTTATCTGAACTACAGTTGTCAGTGCTAAGTAAAGCAGTTGCGATACAAACAAGGACATCAAGGAATATAAATCAAAAGACGGTGTCCTGCAGTTATTCTACGGGTGGAATAAAAGAAGAAGATAAGAGTGTGCATGACTTGATTATTTTAATATGCCAGGTGCATTTTTGCATCAGCGCAGGTGGAGCACGTCACCATAACAACGTCAATCTCGAGCGTTTAACAAAAGTCGTTACGAAAAACTTCAAAAAACTGGAAAAAAATACTAAATATTTTTTAATTCCTTTTAATGAATTCCTAGTTAATAAAAAATTAAGTTATGTAGTATTCAAAGAAATGCAGTGCAAAATATATGTTATTTACAAAATCATTTACATAGAAAATTTTCTGTGTGGTCTGGAAATTTTACAATTCTTTTAATTTTTTTAAAATAAAAAAAAAAATTTTGCAATTATATGATTCAAGAATTTATATAATATTTTTTAATATATTTTACTATAGCTTTTAAAGAAGCAGATGGTACAGCACATATAGATAAGTAGTCCTGATTCTAGCTGCCATATGTTTTAGCGCTTGCAAATCATATCTTAATCTTCCACTGATTTGCCTATATTCTAGTGCCTCTTTTTAATTCAAAGATTTCCTTGAGACGTGCTTTGTTATTATGGACCGATTCTGGGTCTGTGTATGCGCAGAAGGACAGCAGGTTTGGGGCTCTAAATGCCACCAATCTGAGTTTAAATATGTTTACCATCAACTTAACATTGATGCATATGTTCTACATCCTCTCTCGCTATCACGTTCATAGATAATTAGAATACTCTTCTCGTATGCTCATCCACTCCTGCCAAAGAAACCTTTAGCAAAATATAGCTCGATTAGGTAACAATTCACCACGCCGAATTTTGCTTTAACCCACACACTAAGATCAAAAATAATCGTAGAGGATCACCTAATGCTCCTTGCACTGTTTCACAGATTTTGTTACATACAGCAAATTCATATTAACTTTGTACCTTCAGAAGAAAGAATATTATGGAGAGATTATGATTAGATATAATAATCTAAATAGTGATCTAAAGCCATCCATCAAATAAAAGTACTATAAAGAATTAAAGAGTCTTATAGAATTAAAATTGGAGTTTTTAAAATTTGCTTGTCAATAAATTAAGCAATGAATATAATATAAGTCTATAATATATTTAATTAGTTTATTGGTGAAATCGAATATCAGCAACAATTATTTAAAATAAAAAACTAAAATATGATTAATGGGCGATTCTGGGGATAATTTGTTTGAGAACGATAATTATAAATCTGGATTTGTCAATTTTTGTGTCCAAACCTCCCGTTATATGCTAACTGGAGCTTTGTCATGACTCTATAACCATTGACGTTGTTATCAACGATGATCAGATATTCTTGCCGTTTAAGAACTTTACCAAAATTCCAGTTATCTGCTAACTGGAGCTTTGTCATGGCTCTATAAGAAAGAAGTATGTTTGTTCTCGAATAAAGCAAACGTACCACTAAAAATCAGTTGTTAGTATCCAATTTTAGTTTAGATATTAAATTATCTGATATTTCATATGAACTATCAATTATCTGAGCGCCTGGGCAGTCATTTAGATCGTGTTCTACTGTTTCCTATTGCTCTTAACAGTCTCGGCAGAAATCGTTGGTATTGCAATCTACAGTAGCCTGTTAGCAGTTTCTTGTAAAATTTGATATCTGTTCTGCTAAAGTTTAGAACAGCTTCAACCTTTATATGTTATTTTTCCCTTTCGCGTACTAAGCTGGTTTGAAGCTGTTCTTGACACCGGAAAAGGGTTCAGGGCCTATGAAAGCTGTTTTTGCTCCCTTTCTCCATTTCATTCTTGCTTTTTTCATTCTCCATTTCATTTCCTTTATGCCTTTCATCTGCCGGTATCTAAACAGTCACAGAATTTTTCGTCGATATTATGTTGAGAAGAATGAATCAGTTCCAAATTCACTTCGATTGAAATGTGAATGCTATTAGTGATTTCAGATCCCCTTGACTGTCTAAAAGGATGCATATGTTGGTGCCGCGAGTGCCCCTAAGTATGCATTCTCTAACGGATAGTTCCAGGGCGTGGACCACCGCCTGAAAAAAGGAAGTCACTTGGTCCATTCTTACTGCCTTCTACAAATTTGGCCCTACAATTCCTACTCCAGCGCAGCCGTCTTCGAATTTGGACCCATCAGTGTACCATAACTATGAGCTGTCTTTAAAATCTACTTATGATGATTGTATAATGTATATAATATATACTATATTAATATATTCAGTTTAAGATTAACTAAGGTAATTTAAAATCAATTGTCCCCATAGTCATAGCTCATAATCATTATCCTAAAACACCAAATTTCCATTTCAATGTCAAATATTTTATTTTGAACTGAAATTCTGTATGCATTCCACTATCAAAATATTTTTTCATAATTCAAGACCTAAATGATCATAAGTATTTCTTCCTTTTGTTCTATCTGTCCTGTTAATTTTGTTTATTCAATCTGGCACGCTTGGCCACACCGCTTAACAGATTTGGTTTCTGCATCTTAAACCATCGAAAGAAGAAAAAAATTCCAGATAAAAAATATCTTTTTCATAATGAAATAGTAAATAATTTTTGTCTTCAAAAACAGCTGCCAAGTTAATGATTTTTTACTCTTAACAATCACGCACACTCAAGCCGGACTGCACATGTAGAAACCCTGCTATAGAGTCATTCAAATCCAAATCCATCTCAGTGCTAAGCAACGAGCCATCATGAGAAAGACATCAGGACGTGTGGAACGCTGACTGAACAGCAGTGCACGTTTCTAACTGAGCACATGTACGTACTAAGTAGTATCGAGAAAATGTTGAGTGAGTGCACGAATGGCTAGGAGCGATGAAGCATACCGAAACGTATCCAACTGAAAAACAGCAGCGAACCCAATTACAACTCGCAAAGTATCTTCACAACACAATACCCTGAACAGATGATACTCGCAATCGCACACAAAAGATAAAAGTAAGAAGTGAAGGCAAAGATTAAATCAGGTAAAAAGGTTATATTTCGTTTTGTATCTGCAACAGAAACAACAAAAACAACAAAAACAACAGAAAAATAAAAAGTATATTTTGCACCTGCCGTTACTTTGGTTGCCGGTAAAATTAAAGTTGGCGTTTGTTATTGTTGCTTTTGCTGACGCTGCAGTTGGTGCAGTTGCTGCAGTCGTGTTGCTTATTATTGTGCACTGCTGGTCAAGCGATTAGTGTGCCACGTAATTTGCAAGGCTTCCAATAATACCGAAAAATATATATTCTGATTAACCCACAAAAGGAGCGGTTGGAAAAAATTCTGCTTATTCGAGTCGAAAA